TTTAGGACATCCATTTATAAGAATGGAGAATTTCACAGTAGATATGCAAAATTTCATCCATCTTATTTTACTAAAGGGATGAATAAACTTTTGATCCTTGAGTTATTGGTAAATTCTGGTTTAGGCACTCGTGATATTTGGCTAAGCATATTTAGCCTTCAATAAATTAAATTGTGTGTTTCTTTATCCCTTTATATAGGACATACAAGTCTCCAATCCTAAAAATGTTGGAACTAATGTAAGTGTAACAGCAACTTAACCTTAATCCCAACTAGTAGGAATTTCAGTATAGCATATATGGATTATTTGCTTCCTTTATATTCTATTCTTAGCTAAATCCCCATTGATTAAGATCTTTTGAGACAACATCGTGTGCTTTTCGTATATCTTCCCTTTTCAGTACCCTCAAGTATCATCTTGTCGCACCTACAATTGGTACATTCGGAAGTCTACAAGAAGCATGGTCAAACCATCTTCTACAATTGACCTCATTCTATCCTCTAAGTGTGCTTCAAGCAATTCTATTTGATGTGATCATTTCTAATCGCAACCAATCTTGTAAGAGCGCACATCCATCCGTATTTCTACAAAATCATCTTGCAGATATATTAGACCCCAAAAACCCAAAATTCCCTCGCATGTAATATCGTTGGTCTCACAGCTGTTCTATAGAAATTTATTTTCCCTTTGTTAAGTATCTTTCTATTACATAGTAGCTCCATAGAACTCCTCGATTTCAATCATCCTACTTTAATTTTATGAACTATATTTTCTTCTACTATGTCATTTTTCTGAAAACGACTAAGCTTGATATTCATATTGACTTCATTTTACGCACCATAATTCCGTCTATTCTCGCTTTATCTCTGTTCTTCCTATATATGGGCTAAACGTCGTTCTTTATACCATACATTATCTTATCCATAACTAAGATAAAAAGGTATGAACCCAAGGGACATTAGGTGATGAAATCTATCCCAAGTCTTGGTGGATAGAGTTACATGGAACCTGAGCTGGTGGGAGTCGCACGTACCCCATGGAATTAGTCGAGGTGCGCACAAGTTGGCCCGGACACCACGGTTCTTCAAGAAAATCATGAACTCATGGGACAAGTTAATACGTAAATTGGGAGAAAAGGATATATGAATACCCACCAATCCAGCTATCTTTTTTATCATTGCTGCAGGAGTTGAGTTTAAACCTTTCACCAGTGCAACAATGAGTTGCTTTAGCATTGAGAGCTTCTTGTCTTTCTTGGCGTCCACAACTATAACATCTGCTCCTAAACCCTCAGGCTCCAAAGCATGAAGCTCATCCAATGTAGGAATGTCTTCAAAAAGTTCCTTTAGCCTTTTCTCCTACAAAATAGGAGAAGAGAAAGAATTCACACATTAAAATTTTAGCCATGCAATTCCTATTGTAATTCTGTAACAGCACCCACATTAGAAGATATAAAAAGTACAAACATTAAAGTTCTAGGGCACTGAATATATAACTCCCATAGAAATGTGTCCTTGACAGAAATGTAAAGGTCCATTTCGGGTGTATTCCTTGGGCAATATAAAGGATCAGATTAATCGAACAAAATACTATTGAGGTAGTTGATGGATCTCGAGAAAACTGTAATCATATGGAAATATAAGATCTAGATTAATAATTATAATGGCGAAGTTAACAAATATTTACCATTCATGAAAGTAGCCAGTACAATAATTTCCTCAAAACGAGGAAACATATGCTGATAGCAGCGTAGGAGTAGAGTCTTTTTCAATAAGTAGCAGATTAAGAGTAAAGTTACACACTGGATCCCATTAAAAAAAAAAGAGTAGAGTTACAATATTGTCTCAGGAAAAGAGAGAGCAACAATGCTAAGTGCAACATTCAAAATAAAATAAAGTAGAGAAAGTGAAACTACATGCATCCTGAATAAGAACAAAAAATAAAAGAAGCCAGCAAAGTTTTTACCGTTATATTTATCACAAAAGAAAGAGTCATATTCACGATATCACTTCTTAATTTGTTGTTAGCTTTTCCTTAACAGAGGAGAAATTCTATGTCCTCCCTTCTTCTATATCCCTGTCCCAGAGAAACGGACATGGTCTAATTTTTTTCATGGAAGCAAAAGAAAATAATGACCACATTATGCTATCTTGGTTGTAGAAAAGAATGAAACAAATGAGGGGATCCTAGGAACGACTGGCCTTCCTCCACTGCATTCCATAGAAGAGAAAGAGGAAGTATATCACCTGAACGTGATAAGAACAGAGGAAACACGACTTGAGTCTGTGGGATAGATAAACCAGGCTTGCTTCATGTGATGGGTATAAACCTTAAGGTCTATTACAAGAAAACCAATGACATTGGCAGGATCTATTCAGTTTATTATCACACATTTCTATGTGTTTGAGGATAGTTATCCTCCTCCGATGTAATTTAATTTTTTTCCAGAAAAGAAATTGATCATTTTAATCTCACCTTTTACCTAAAAATTGACGTTGTAAGATCCTTCCTCGAACTCCCTACCCACTCTAATTCACCTCCAAAAGTAAGAAATTTTTGTAATATATGGACCAAGCAAAAATTTGTAATATATGGACCAAGCCCCACCCATATAAACTTCTGTGTCCATTTGTCCATTTACTACAAGTAAGGGACCATATATTCATTTCTCGGACTACACGAGAAAGGTTTTTTCTTTTTCTTTTTTTTGGGGTGGGTAAGGTAGAGTACATGAGAAGGTTTAATGTTATTGTTCACCTCAAACCTTCTATGATTAGAGAAACAGAGCACAGCAACTAACAGTCCCTATTCCACGATGATCAGATGTTGCCGAAGGAATAGCAGAGGAACAAACAGTTAGAATTCAGTTTTGCTAGCCACCAAAGAGGTGCCAATGCTCTTGTATTGGCAGTCCACTTCAATCACATTGCAATAAATCAAAGAATTCCTGTAAAACTGTCTTTGACCATATGATCCCTATGACCTGAAAGTTTTATTTTCCTTTGATTTCATTTTGCGCCAATTAACAATAAAGTAAGCCAGTAAGCAGATATGGAAGCAAGGATAAAAGCAACATGGCAGCTACTTAGCACTCCTCACAACCAGTGAAGACTTAACTTCTTTTCCAATTAAAAAGAAAATCCTACAATCTGAATCTCACGTTTTTCTTGCTAGTGGGATTTGACCATAATTTAAAAGATTTAAAGCTCTTAAGCATCACCAAAAATAGATTAAAAGAGTCTTATGGCATGATATTGTTCTAATTACTTTTCAGACTGCAAACTTTACATGTCCCTTCAAGCTTCCTTTATCAGTGTGATGTCCTCAAAGATACTTGATAACCGAGATCGAGTACTTGAAGAACCTCTTTCAGCTACTTGAAAAAAAATGAGGTAGATAACTTGAAGGTTTCCTATATTTCAAGAATGAATTGAAAAACTAAAATAGGAAAACCGTTAAGATAAAATATATCTTTTTTCGAGGGATTAAATAATATCGAAGTGGAAGCACAGCTGAACAATCATGTTTACTTCTCTCATTCTATCATTCATGGCATGTAACTTGCTCATTTGACAAAATCGTATCAGAAGTGCATCTATTATTAGAAGTGTATCAGTTGTATGCGGTTAATATTCAATTCCTTCAGATCCTAGAGGGCAAAAAGAATTTTTAATCAAGCAGAACGAATGCCGTGATACAAGCAACAATACAAAGAAGTTATAAGTTTCGGTGCTCACAGGAACAACAGAGTAGAAACCATTGGGAATTGGTTCAGAAAGTGTTCCAGTTTTCCAGAGAATCTGGGAAGCAGTCCGAGAGGATAGCCTATCGTATTCTCTCTCAGTTGGTTCCCGATTCCTCATAATTTCTTCTTTTCCATAAAGTGAAACGGATCCAAACTTTTCAACATAATCTGAAGGCCACCATGCAGTCTTGGGGTATCTATGCTCTGGAAGCCCAACTTCATCTGGTATCTCTTCCATGTCAACAGATAGTTGAATTGCAATACCATCTCTTAACTACTACTACCTCATAGAGGAGCTTATAAATGCCGCTTCTTTGAGACAAAATAACATAATTTAAAAGCTTCTTCTCCTATGATCGGCACAAGGCTGATGCCATGAACCTGCAAAGTGAGAATTGGTTAACTCAAATTGAAGTGTTTCTTCAACAAAAGACTGTCTATAGTTCCTTAATGCATGAACTCAAAAGAAGCAGGGCTGTTATCCGAAAAGCTGCAGAAGAACTCACTGAAGCCTTGGTCACACGCTTCCCCTCCAAAATAAGAATAGAAAATAGGAAAATAAAAATAAATAAGAAATAAATGGACCATAATCAAAGTAGAGATTTAATCACTATCTCAAGTATCAGATTACTAGAAAAGACGCTCTATTGCTTATGAAGAGTACTCCTTCAAAGAATAGAAAGAAAAACCGAAAACTCATAATCTTACATTATTAAATAGTACAACTTTTCTTGACCAGTACTATGAAAGTCCTGAAAACTGAATGCTTCTTAAGATATTTAAGATAAATGATCAAATTCGAATTATTTCTCTATCTTCAGGTCTGCATACTTTTTCTACAAGTACAAGTTTGGCAATTTACTGAGAGTAGCAAGGACATAAACCAGGTGGCGTGTATTCAATACGGTTCTCAACAAGTGTTGATAGAAGAAAAATTAATGAAGGAGAGATGGAGAGGCAATTCTAATCAGTTATTCAATTTGAACCACAAGAACAACATTTTAGATCTCCATACATCTGGACATGATAGAAACTTTACACACCACTGTTTTAAAAAGCGAAAAACGCAAAAAAGCAACAAGGCCCATGGGGCTTGAAAGCGATAAGTTAAGTGCAGCTTCACTAAAGTGAAGTGCATATTTTATGGAAAATTAAAAATACCAAATATATATGGATTGAGTACTACAATAATCAGATTGCAGTCAAATAATTAAATTTCAACATCCAATATGCAATCACGGTATTTAATCCAACTCCTTAAAGTTGAGATTCAAAGAACCGACCGCTTATTCGTCGAGAACACTTTCTTGTCATGTTTGGAGCATACACTTGTTTGAAAACATAGCTTCACCCATGAAGCGGTAAGCCCTCACTTTGCATCACTGCATTGCTTTAAGCGATGACGTCTAGCAACATTGTTACACTCGTAAAATTAGGCGGACAAAGGTAAAGGATGCCATGAGAAATATGAAGATTAGAACAGTATGGTGATCCCGTATAGGTTTAGAAGTGTCTTGGAGAGATTGGAGTAGGACGGCTTACCAAGCTATTTAGTGCCATACTAAGAAGTGGGAGGATGCCCCACAAGTGGAGCAAGAATACCATGATTCTAATTTATAAGAACAAATGAGAAAGTCAAAATTGTACAAAACTATCATGATTGAATTCATCAGTCATACTATTAAACTCCGGGAAAGAGTGATAACAAGAGTGGCAGAATCAGCTTGGATTTACACCTGGTAAATCTACAATAGAGGCTATAATCTTGTAAAGAAAATTGATGGAAATTTATCATGAGGAAGAAAGCTTTACATGGTCCATCGACTTGGAGAAATCATATGATAAAATACTATGAAAGGTCCTTTGGCGAGTGTTGGGGAAGAAAAGAATTCATCTTAAATATATAAATGCCACAAAAAATGTAAGGAGTCACTACTGTGAGAACAATAGTAGGAGATAGGAAGGAGTTTCCCATAACCATGGGTTACACCAGGGTTTGGCATTGAGCTCGTAATTGTTTATCCTAGTTATGAATGAGCTAGTCAACACAATATACGATGAGATCTCATGGTGTATGCTATTCGCTGACGATACTATGCTAATTGATGGAATCATCAAGGGTGTTAACCAAAAGCTTGAAATATGGAGAAGCACTTTGGAGGGTAATGGTTAGGATAGGTAGAAGTAAGACTGAATATATGCACTCCAAGTTTAGTCAGCTTAAAAAGAGTGAAGTTCATGTGAGATTAGATGGAATTGTGATGTATAAATGCAAACAATTTAGATATCTAGGCTTTTCAGGAGAACTGAATGGTACAAACATGGTGCCTAAATGTTAGGTATAGAATCAAAATCATATGGTTAAAATGGAGAAGAGTTATCAGAATGTTATATGATAGAAGTGTAAAGGCTAGAATTGATGACTGACGTATATGATCATTAAGCCATGCGCAGCCTTTAAATACAATGAAAAATGAACTTCCTAAAATGTGCTCGTTTGATGAAGTGCACTTATTTAACAAGACTTATCCTAATTCAACTGCTAGAGATAAGGTCTAACTCAAACAACCAAAGGCGAACCGATGTGTATTATTTAGGGGTCACCGGACCCCGTAAACTTCGGCAGAAATCTTGTATATGTATTTGTGTATACCTTAAAAAATGGGTAATTTGAATCACTTGGTACCCTGAACACTAAAACCCTTTAGGGGGGCACTGGTTGAGCAGAATATTGTGCCCACGTCGTCTTAAAATCCTGGGTCCGCCTCTGTTAACAACCTAACAACCTTTATTCAAATAAACTATCTTAATAGAATGCTAAAGAATGGGCCTAACGCTAACAAATTTATAACATTAAACATGTGCGCTGATATGACCCCTCAAGGTAGGCAGTGTGTAACAACACCTAGCTTGAATAATTAGTTGTCAAAAGCTAACTTTTGAAGAGCTTTAGAGAGAGCATCGGCGAGTTAATTTGCAATATGAATGAGAACAACCTGGACTTATTTTTCTTGCACTTGCTTCTAAACAAAGTGAAAATTTACAGCAATATGTGCCAACAAAACTCAGTATCAGTAAATCATCTTTTCTTACACTGCCCAGTGGCAGTAAATATATGGCATACGTTCCCATCATTTTTTGGAATTAGCTGGGCAACTCCACAGAACATAAAGGTAGCAGTGGAAAGTTGGAACTCTTGGAAAGTTGACAGGGCCATCAAGAAGATCTGGCAAATGATCCCAGCATGCATTTTTTGGTGTATATGGACAGAGAGAAATAGCAGATGTTTTTATGGCATTTCAACTCCCAACTGCACCCTGAAGTCTAAGTGTTTGATGAATCTGTTCAGTTGGAGTAATCTAGCCCCTGTAAATGATGTAATTTCCATGTTAGATTTTATTAGCTCTCTCAATATGGCTTAAAAGCCGGTTTTTTCCTTTTGGTTTTGGTTTTGCTCAAAGCTCTGACCTAGATTTTTGTACTTAGGAGCAAACTGAACTTCTTTCTTGTACTCTTTGCATCTTCTTGATGCCTTTAATGCAACATCTTACTTCATCAAAAAAAAAATTTACAGCAATGTCTTACATACGAATGTGAAAGACAAGATTTTCACACAATGGGGCACCAACATTGTCACAGTAAACAGTTGGTGCGTGTGGAAGTGGAACACGTAGGTCGACATTCAGCTTCAGTAGATGAGCGAGCTATTGTGTTTTGTTTTGGGATGACCAACTCACAGGATTTTGACCAAAAAACAAAATGTAACCAGCAGTCGAGGCTCAGGCACTCACATCTTTAGCCCACTACGCATCAAAGTACATATACAAATTGAATTATTTCGCATATGTAGACACCAAACTGAATTGTACCCTGTAGATACCTAAGCACTTCTTTGAGTACTTTCCGATGAAGTTCAAATACTACAACAATAATAACAAACCCAGTGTAATCCCACAAGTGGGGTCTGGAGAGAGTAGTGTGTACGCAGACCTTACCCCTACTTTATGAAGATCGAGAGAATGTTTCCGGTAGACCCTCGGCTCAAGGAACAGTGAAACTAAAGCAACAAACAATTGCAACAAGGTAACAGGGTAATGGAAACTAATAACACAACATGTACTAATAACAGACCAGGAATAAGAAAATACAACAACAGAACTAGTATTACTGACAAGCCTAAGAGAGACTCGAAACTATACGTCAACCTTCAACCCTAATACTCGTCCTCCACGCCTTCCTGGTGAATTTTAGATAGCGAGTGTATAAATTGAGACAATTTATTAACTGAGAAGTTGCTTATGTCTGGACGGGCAAATGACAAGTATTGGAGCTAATCGAGGACTTTCCTATGTTAGGTAGTATTCTGCACCATCATCGAGATTAAGTACTTCGGTGGCATTTCATTGGAGTTTTGACTGGACTGCATTCTCTCAAATTTCTGCACACGTATGTCATTGATATAATTTGATTGTGAAAAACTAATTCCATTTGCACTATGAATCACTTCGACTTCTAAAAAATAGTTAAGATTCCCAAGCTGACAATGACCTCTATTGATGATAAATATCATCTGCATAAACAAGAAAATACATGATGGCGTGCGACTCGGCAAACGAGAATACACCCTTCCTACCTACTCAGATAAACTGCATCAAAATAGTCAAACCAAACAAATGACCACATCACAATTAACACAACTCGAACAATCAACTATGCCCTCAAGCTAACGCGTGTCTAGCGTCATGGGCCGACTCCTCCTTAGTATCAGCAGTGCACAAATTAGTGGGGCACATGTAGTCTCACCTGAATCTTCTCTTATCCCAGGTTTCACGAACCTGTAACTATGGCGAAGCTTGCCTCAAAGGCCTAGCTTCAGTTGTGCCAGTTTGATATCAAGGGTTTTAACCATGACTTGTTGTCATACTCCTGTTGCACATTTCATATGATGAATCGTGTCTAGGTGCACACCTGAAAATGGCAACAGACATGTCAATCCCTCGCGTAGTACTGAGCGACCCTCTCGCACGCACAGTTCATTACACTCACGTGCACAGTCGTTCTCACGGTTAACACTTGTCTTGTGCCTGCTGATGCAGCCTGTGCTTTGCCCGAGTATGGCAACGGTTAATCTAATTGGCCTTTGTCATGCTATCTTTCATATAATGCCAACAATTGTCATAAGGCTAAGGCATTGCCAAATACTGCCCTTACGACATACTTCCATCCCGCGTAGTGTAGCGCCACCTCACAATTACATGTCTAGGGCAACGGACCCTTGCTCGCAAGGCTAGACCCAAGCCATGCTCACAAATCAGCGCACAAGGCTCTTAAGAGTGGTGCCTCAAGTGCTCAATCAGCGGAGGTTTTTATCCTTCCCAAAAAAAATCCCGCAGAGCATAGTCGTTCCATATCACAAGCCTATGGTAAACGTTAGGCGCCCAACGCCAGCACATGACTAGGCGCCGCCTGTAGAGTTTCCAACTCATATGGGTACACTAGACACTCCTTTGAGTAGCCCAGGCAAGACCCTGAGAGTTCACTTGGCGCGGCTTCTTGACACGGGGAGGGCTCAAATAATTTATCATCATTAGGTTACTTCTATGTTGCTTCTAAAAGAAATTCAGAACCCAGCAAGAACATTGGTTACCTAAATCAAAAGTTATCTCCATCATCAAACTTGAGATCATCTAACTTCTAGTTTCAAATGTGGTAAATTTCAGCACAAATACAGCTGTAATTCAGGGAAAAAAATTGGTCGAAATTCAGGAATTGACTATACACTACTATTAGCATCACTATTTGATTTTAAAAAGCAAGGGATAAAGAATTGAATTAAAAAAACGAGTTAAAATATGCAGAAATTCGTGCATATGTTAATTTAAGATGAAATTGGACGATATAAACGCAATTAGACATGTATGATAGGAGAGCTAACCGGCCAGCAGATCTTAAGAAACGAATCTGAAGCTTAATACCAGGCGACAATGGCATTTGAATCTTACATAACTTTCTGAAGATTCAGAGTGATGTTATCAATCGAAAGTTACCGCCTCAGAGCGAATAGGATTTAGAACTCTTAACGGAGTTAAAAAAGATAGACGGCAAGAGAAAGATGCAAACGAGGCAAACGTGCGTGTGAGAGAGAGAGAGACTAATATTACTGTATTTTAAGACTAGCTTACGTGACTTGGGAGTGTGCCGAAATCAAATTCCGAGGTCCCAAGTCCGAGAAATGAATTTTTGTGCGAAATTGTTTTCTGAAATGAAAAATTGTCCCTAACGTGTAACTTGTCTCAAGTTTATGATAAAAGTGAAAGCACAATTATTAGTGCACCAGTCGTCGAGTTTTTACCATTTTTATGTTATATTATAATATATATTATTTATAGCATCACTTCACTATATCAATCAAAAAATATCGGAACAAGCGAGGATGTAATAAAGATGTTTGACTATATTACGGAAATAGGGACCGTGCATAAAGCATCTTGTATATATGCATGAGCTGAAAAAAGGATCACACCGTTACAGCTTGTTTGGATGATTGTTACATGTTGTATTGTATAGTATTGTTACTTTAAATACAATGCTTGCTTTGATTGTTACTTAAATTTTATTGTATCGTATCGTTAAATCTGCCGTTACGTAACGAAAAGTGTCACTTTATGGAAGGACCAATTTAGTGTGATTGCGTCGTTACCTTTTTTTTCCTCTCATCTCACCCTTCCTTATTATTAAATAATCTTATTTTATCTTTTACACTACATTTTTATATAATAATTTTACCTCGTAGCTTACTTTTTCTCTATAATATTGCAAGTTTTTTTCTTCATATTGTTGGTGCATGACATCATGAAACGAAGGCAAACAATACAATATATCCAAATATTGTATACATCAAAATGATCAATACAATATTATACGATACATTATAAAATGATACATAACAACCATCCAAACAAGTTGTTAAGGGTGTGATGTCCCTATGGTAGGGCTGTTCATTCGGATCGGATATCCGAAATCCGAACCGATCCATTCAATTTTGAATTTCGGATTTCAGATTGGATCGGATTTCGGATTATATTTATTAAAATTTTGGATTTCGGATTGGTATATTTTAATCCAATCCAATCCGAAATCCAAAATTATTAGGACATGTATAAATACTACACTTTAATTTACATCAACCTCCAAGTTATTACCTTTACAATTGCTAGATTTAGCTATATTGGCACCATAGTACTCTCATAATTGCATAAACATGAATTTTTCTTAATGTATTAACTATTTTACAAAGAAAATATACATATTAATTTAACTTTGAGGCATAATAATACGATCCAATATCTGATCCGATCCAAACTTTAAAATCCGATCCGATCCGATATAATTCGGATCGGATTCGGATTGCATTTTCTAGAATCCGAAATCCGAAATATGCTAAATCCGATCCGATCCGATCCGTGCACAGCCCTACCCTATGGTACTGAATTAGTACGCATTTAATTTTAGTTACTATGGTATGACATAACGAATACAGAGGATTTATATATTCGACTAAGCTAATTTAGAATTGGTATTTTTGATATTGAGATTTGAGACATAGGGTTAACAACATGGTTTCAAATTTGAATTTTAGATACACAATTTAATGCAACTCCTTCTAATCTAACCTTGGTTTGTAAGTTGTATGTTTACTCAGTAATTGTGCTTGTGTAATGTAACAAGATGTTTAATGAAATTAATAAAATAAGTTGGTTTGAATATCGCTATCTTTTAAATAAAAATATAGAATGAGACATAATTTATTGGTATTTCCAAGTTCGCCAATACTTTCTATTATGGGACGTCTCAAAAAAAAAATTGACATCATTCTTTTAATTGTATTAATTTTACAATGTCCCCAAGTATATATTATTCAAATTCTATTTAACTAGTCAAAAATGTTTAATATGTTCTCTTTTAAAATTAATTTTCAACTAAAAATGAAATAAGTGAGGTTAGGACTAAGTTATGTTATCAATTGAGAAGGAAGAGGAGTGCAAATCATGTGACTCTATCTCCAACAAACAACTAGCAAAAGGTTTTCTTTTTCTTTAATTTTTCACATCACATAGGGAAATCGGGAAAAAGACAATGAAATTTGAACGTAACTTATTATATAGGAGCTAAAAAAAATATCTCTAAATTATAAGTTTATTAGGTGGTGCGCAGGGGCGAATTTTGTGCAATAGTTAGGAGTATACGTGAATTCAGTAATTTTTATCTAGATCCTTCATTTACGTTAACTATATAAGAATATTTAGTTTGAAAATTTTGTGTTAACCTGATTATTATTGTATATTAACTTGAGATTGCTTAATCAGCTTTTAATCGTTTTTTGTATTGAATCTAATTTAAAGAACATGCATGTAGAGTCGATGAATAGAAATTATTAGAGTACTATTTTTCCTAAAAAGTTTGTTAACTCAATCTTAACCAAATAAGGCTCAACCCAATTTTTTCTTTAGAGACCAATCCACAATCTAAAAAGTTAGGTGTCATTAGAAATTTATACATGTTTTGTTTTAAAATTAGTTTGTTTTAGAATTTTGTACTAGAAGAGTTGGTTTGTAAAAAAAAGAAGTTAAATATCTGAAAATATTTTAAAGCATCATTTGTCTGGAAACATACACTTGATAATCAAGAAATTTAAAATTGATTTAAATAAAATAAAAATGCGCTTTAAATAAATAAGTGGTTATTTTGAGATTAAACATGCCTATAAGTAATTTATTTTCACTTTCCTAGTTTAATCATTTTAAGTTAGTTTTCTAATTATAATTTCAAGGTAGAGGTAAGACTTGCATACACACAATCCTCTCCAAACTCACTCGTGAAATTGTTGACCAAATAATTATTAATACATTATTATTACGATTAAAAATAGTCTTATACTACATTTAATGCTTGTTTGGTGTTATGTTATACACATAAAAGATTATTAGTTAGAAGTCACATAAAATTTGGACAATATCACAATCATATAAGATAGGATTTGGCATTCAATGAAACTTAGCCTTTCATCCTCCGATAGGTTTAAGTTATATGCAATATTAATAGTATAAAGATTGTTTACACTTACCGTTCAAATTAATATGTAACAGCATATTAATTATTAATTTATTAGATTATTTGTATTTATCATTGAAATTACTCATAAATATTTTATTCCTTTTTTTTGGTTGTAAATAGGAATATTTTATTAAAAACTAAGTAATATTACATAGATCTTTCCCAGCCATCCCATTGGGATCGAAATATTTTATTCCATCAATACGAAGAACTTAATTAGTTCCTTAAGATTATTAGTATTTATCATTAAATCTTCTTCCCCTCCTATTTGATAAACTTAAACAGCAAATAAGCAGTTTATTTTGACTTCACTGTCTATATATTCAGTATAAAAGATGTACTCATTTTTTTCATATTTTTTTACCCGAATAAATTTCACTTACGATGAAAATAATTAATTTTTATTTAAACCTACTCATTTCTTTTTAAGTTACATTTTAAAAGTTTGTCCCTAGTCATGATTTTGATTTTTTTGGCAGGTAGAAGGTCGAGGGTCTTTCAAAAATAACATCTTTGCTATATGCACATTATTTTCCCCAAATACTGGGCCGTTGTCGTTGTCTCTGGCAAGTGGAAGATATTTTCCATTTAAAATCGAGGTACCAAACTAAAAACTTCCCTTTTTTTGGAGCCCACAAATGTTTTTATTTTTTCAGTTTTCTTTATCTGTCAACTTTTTGGTTACGAGGAAATTATTATTCCTTTCCATGAAATTGACATTCAGAACATGAAATTCTTGCAAATAATATATTTTAAGTGAGTATTTATTCAGAAAGCTAACAATGATTTGCAAAATAATTCAAAGCATAAGTTATTTTGGGGTTTTCCTTTCCTTTTTTAGGCAAATGACATGCTCAACCTATATAAAAATTAAGAATGAAACTCACTGATAAGAAGTCAGTGTTAACATATAATTGAGTAAATAAAAGTTTGTTATTTTTAACGATTTAAACTTTTAGATGAGATGATCACATTTTTTTAGGATAAATATTTTTATTTATGAATCTTTATGAGCACAATTATGTTCGTTTCCTTGATTCTTCCTCCGGATTATTTTTCATGTTTTGAGGTCTGGATGAACGTATTTCTTGAATGTTAGGATGATACGGACTTCTCTGAGATGTATTTGATCTCAATGAAAGTCGAACATTGTGTAAATTTTCTTCTTAAAAATATTTGATTATCAAGAAGCGTCTGGTCGCATTTTAAGTTAATGATGAGGTATAACGTCTCTTGATCATTTCGGCTTTGAGAAAGACATTATTATTTTGATTTCTTTGTGAATCTCAAGAGTTTATGAAATTTTTGAGATGACCACATAATTCAAGAAACTTTCGCTATCCGTTGTGTTAATGAATTTAAGTTAAATAATAAAATTATTCAAAGAATGGATAGTTAATTATTATGCCTAATCATATGCTTTAATCACGACAACCCCCACCATAATCACATAAAACGTGTGAAGGTATCATTGTGCTAAATCTCTGATAAATTGCTTCAATCATTCCAATTCAGAAAAAAAAAATCAAAGAGATGTTGAAATTAAAGTGGGATAAGCTAATCATTCAATTCTTTTACCCTTTTAAGGCCAAAAGATTAAAGTTGCTTCCATGTCATCGTAAGGTTACGAGTTCGAGCCATGGAAATAGACTGTTGCAAAAATACAGGATAAAGCTACGTACGATAGATTCTTGTAATCCGATCCTTACTCAAATCTCACGTATAACGAGAGCTTAATGCATCGAGCTGCTTTTTTTATAGAGTCCAAAAGATGGACTTTTTGCCAAAAAGGGTAGTGTCCAAAAACCAAGAATAACACATTTATAATTAGACGTCAATGATTCAATGGGCAAATTGATGAATTAAAAAATAAAATATCTTCACTCAAATGTAAATTTTAAATGAACAAAAATGATGCATATCTATTACTTGTTGACTACTAATGACGTTGATGACACTTGGGAGGGCCCTTCTCCCCCACCCCACCCTCTTTTAAAAAGGAAAAAGCG